CCCCAAAACCCCAAAACCCCAAAACCCCAAAACCCCAAAACCCCATAGTAATTTTTAAGTAAATAAAGTCTTATGCGCTTTTTATGTTTTGTAAATAAAATTCCAAATAGATAATAGCTTTAAGATGCATACATAATCTTAGAATATTGCATCATTACATTTTTTTCATATTCTGTCAATGTCGATTGGATTAATCAGAAGATTCAAGAATTCAAACTTATCCTTAAAGATCTTCATTCTCTCAAATTAATCTTCCTTTTCCTAATATGCTTCCTGATAAACTATTCCTCTTGTTCTGTTACTCACATTAGTTTGCTGAGTCCTGATTTGCTAAGCACTATTTAGTACCAGTTTTAATTCCTCTACGCTGCCATTGTTTCTTCTGGTGTTAATTTCAGCTTCTATCTTATGCTTTATTTGTCTGATAATTCTGTTTTTCAAATTGTGAGCTTAAGTTTTTGCATCCACATCTCCAGTAGTCGTAAATATGTCTAGAGCTATGTCAACAAGTCTTAATCCTATTTTGAATGTTTCAACCTAAATTTAAAATTAATTTACAAAGTATTAAATACCTCTTTTGTTCCCTACATTATGATATAACTCTAAATGAGGTAGACTATTCCTTATCCAGTTTACGATTTTTGTCTATTAAATGTCCTTAGAATTCCAGCCAGTTCTTCAAAGATTTATGAATACTTATCTCTTTATTAATCCTTCAATAGCATGCAAATTTGTATCAACTCTATATTTGATTAGAAAATTACGTCCATTTTATCTATATCAAAGCTTTCGATCATACTCTTATATTCTTCTTAGTCCATCCCTTTTAATGCTGATACACTGAAGTAATGATAGAGAAGATATTTAAGTTCTAATTAACCAAATTTAAGGTAATCATGTTATTCATGTTGAGATTCATCATCTTCTTCATACTGTATGCCATCTAATTGTTGTTCTAATTAAAGGTTCTTATTTTTTGCTGAATTCTTTGGAGGTGTTCCCTAAATATCTAGCCCTTATGCTTTATTTTAGAGATTTTACCTAGATAAAGATGTATTTTATTTTCGTATTCTTGAATTATCCGTTGTGAGTATATTATTATCATTATTAGTTTTGACACTGCCTTGTATTCTTTCTACCCTAATGTTCATGTCTTGGTTCTTAGTCCTCCCAGACATACTTAAATTGTCGTTTTTAAAACGATTCATTGACTTTAATGATTGATTACTAAAATCTTCTTGATTGTGTCTTACTTATTTTAATGGTCTATTCATTTCATAATTCAAAACTGTTTCATCAGGATTAATTTAAATTTGATCTTTTAGATTTTCAAACTTATCTAGAGTCTTTTAGTAGAAATCCAAATCATCAATTGTAGTATTACCTTTGATTTTCATGATAAACATTTGTTGCATTACTTAAGATACAGGCGATGATTTTTACGATTTATTCTGGCTAGATGTTTCTGATGGTTAATCTTATGCATTCTATTTTTAGAATTCCATTAAACGTTTTTAACTCAATGTATCACTATATTATAAAGGTTCTTATGGAGTATTCACTAATTCTTACTCTTGATTAATCATTTTTTCAATATATTATTCTATTTTCTTATAATACTTTTTCCCCAAACTAAGAGCTGAATCTCTATCTTCAGAATTTTAATGAAGAAAGTTATGAATATCTTCTATTTAATTGGCCTCTTCATCTGACTTTCTTTATTAAAGAATCGGCTGTGTAGCTTCTGATATAGTTTTCCCAAATTATTTGTCTATATTGATAGTAGGATTTATTTTACTTCGATCAAATTTTTATTAATTGGTATTAACATAGTTCTCTTCATATGATTTATCCGATTCCTAATTATAGGCACTTTCATTTTATATGTATTAGTAATCATCAAGCTTATCTCCTTCTTTTTCTTCTTCCTGATCATAATCACTTACTTATGAGAGTAACTCGGTTACTGGTTCTAATTATTTAGTCAAACTTCTTTATAAATTTGTTTGCTGTTTTTTCAAGTTTTCTTATTTATTAATCTATTTTAGTACTTCATCCTACAAATGTGGATCGTCTCTTATTTTTGTTAATTATTCTTTTAACGAACTAGAATTAGATAATTTTCTAGAGATAGAAGTTGCGCATCTAGAATATCCTGCTACCTGTACACCTAAAGAAGATAATGATTCCTATTAAGAATATTGATCTTGGACGAGGTAAGGGGTAATATCATTTGTATTCAAAACTTAATTAATTCCTCTAATGAGAGCTTTTCTTCTATTGACCCCTCTACTCATGAATATAGTTTATGATCTTGTGGTCAAGAAGAGTGCTGTAGAACTGATCATAGCATCTTTTAGACCCTAATCGGAACCTCTAAATGATTATTCCCCAGCTAATCTATCTTGAATTGAAATCAAATAATACAGGCATTTGAGTATGTTTTTACGATAAAAATCATGCATAATCATTAAATCTTCATAGTTAGGCTTTCTTTATTAATCATGAATCATTTTTTTCTGAATCTCATAATTACTAATATAATGTCTCGCAAGAATTGTATTGTATGTTCTCTTTGCTTTTTCATCTCCCTCAATTTTGAGAGCAATTAGCTTACTAATGATATTTTGAACTGAGTACTCTCCCGTTTCCTGATCCATTTAAATCATGGACATCTATTCTAGATCTGTCAATAAGTCTGGAATCGTACTAGCAACATTAGCGAAAAGATTTTGTAAATCCTCCATCGTTAGACCACTATCTGTTTCTTAGATAAACTACAAGATCTCAATAACGTTCACATCCTTCTTTTTCAGATATTCCAAACTATCTAAGATACTTATAGGAAGAGCATCGTTCTTCATCTCAATTCTATTCGGAGTTAGCAACTTTTCATATATATCTTTAATCTACACTTCTTTTGAATTCATTCTTGATGCTACAAGGCAGATACTCAATGGTTAGTTTAATATGTCAAATATTGGATGCTGTTCTAAATAAGCATAAATACAATCCAAGTTTGGAATTTAGGAACCATTATTTTTATGAGCTTTCGATAAACACTTTTCCTTTGTGCATAATTTTAGTTACGTGTAATTTTTAAGTATGATTTAAGATGCTCTAACAACATTTTAATCTCTTTTAGTGAATTCATTTAAATCCTACATTGTTTCCAAAGTTAAGAACTATCTCATAGATTCTTATGAAGGTATTTTCTTTATGAATAGATTACATGCCTTTTTTTAAGACATTTCTTTTAAGTGGAAAATATAATATCCATGCAATTCACTCATTCCCTAATTTGCTGTGAAGAGAACTTTTGTCTTATTTTGATCTTAGAGTATTTTATTTAGTGTTTCTTATAGTTCTTTTTTTTCATTCTCAAGAGCAATTATGCCATCAAGATTATCTAAAATTATCAAAATACATTCATTCCTCTTGATGAATGCTCTAATTTTCAAATCTATATCTCTTTTATTTGAACAATAAGAAGTTCCTATTCTAGCATAATTTGAGATTTTTGAGGTACTTTAATCCATTACTTCTAACAGGTATGCCATAGCTTTCCTTACATCTTTATACTCAGATAGATTGGCATATATCACACCATGAGTAAAGATATTTCTATCGAAAAGATAATGAGAAACTTTTGAAGCGAGGGCAGATTTCCCAACTCCTGGTTTGCCAAAAACTTGTATTATTTTACTGTTTTTATTGATAATTTTCAAGTATAATTGATATGCATCAGCGTTTCTAGGAACCCAATTGAGTACAATAGGAGGCAAAATTTTATGGCAATGTGCAAAAAGTGGTAATACGTATCCTTCGTTCAATTCATTTTTAAGGCAGTCTATGTATTCTCTACAAACGTGGCCATCTTAAACTAATAGATTGTACTTTTTCCATTCATCAGGATATCTTACTTCTTTTTTTAGTAAGTCTATTGTGTCATGGTAAGCTCTACATATAGTGCAGTCACTACAAAATACCTTCTAATAGAATATTCTCGAAAATCTTATCGCAGCTTCATCATTTAGAGCTTATTCTCTCTAAATACAAATTGTATGTTGCGAACCATTTTTTTTGAAGATTTCACCAATCTCCTTTGAATGGCAAGATGCTATTACTGCAAATCTAAAATTTGTTTCTTTAGTACCAAGCAACTTTTCCATATCTTCTTGAAAAAAGAAATCTGAGTTCCCACCATCCTCGCCTTCAAACACCAAGACATCACCTTTGTTTTCGCATTAAGTTTTGTAGTAATTATTTACATCACTAAATTTTTTAAAGACCTCTTTTTTATTTAGTAATCCGTGTCCAGAAAAGTGAAATGCTAACGGTCTTTTATTAAGATTCTCTGTTACATTAGTTTTTGTTGCTTTCTCAAATAGATATTTGATTTCATAGTCATCTGATTGTAAACTTTTGATGATCTGTTCAAATTCTTCCTTAAAGCTTATATCTTCAAGTAGATCTTCTTTGTATTTTCTCCTCTCAGCTTCTATCACCAATGGAGAAGCAAAAAAATATGCTAAATGTATCCTACTCTTTTAGCTTCCTGCAGTTACTCTTGAAATACCACTTTGATATGTTACTTTTTTCTTGATATTCCTTCTGTGAAAGATATCTTCAACTTATAAGGTATTATTATTAGGAGCAATAATTTCTACCTAAGGTCTTTTTTATCTGCTTATTTCGCTCAAATATATACTTTCATCCTCTTAAATTGTATCATTTATCTCTTGTTATCGCTGTGAAGGTATTAGATTTAAGCGTTTCTTCACAAAAAATTGCTCACTCGAGGGTCTTTAAAGATCATGTTAGTATTATATCTAACTTCTGCTAGTGTCTAATTCTGCAATCAAATTATCATCAATTGCATTGTACTCATTATTGATTACAATAAACGCTTACTGCTCTTAATTTTCATTCAATTTCTTTAGTAGATCTTATTTCCTCCTAATTATATCCACCTTGTTTACATGGACAATTCGCGAAAAGACGATTGTCTATTCTTTAGGTTCTAGATTGGACTAGTCAGCTTATTCTCCCATATCTTTGCCCTCTCTGGATACACAACCTAATGACACTCCCATTTGATATATTTTAATTTAATAAACAAAATAAAAGTTATATTAATTTATCAATAAAATAAAGTCGAATTTCGAATTAAGCATTTTCATCACATTTTAATTTTTATTTTTGTTTCATTAATCTGAAAACAAGTTTTGATTAACGGGGTTTTGGGGTTTTGGGGTTTTGGGG